AGTTGCATTTATTGGAAGAGAATAACATAGGTATAGGTTTTATATTCAAATGTGTTTAAATAATACAAATATTAGTTTAGATCATGAATTTATAGCGCGTGTCAAAATATGATATAGTTTTGGTTAATTTTAACTTGCATTCTGCTGGTTTACACAAATTATTGGAAAGCTACCTCCTTGTTGCAGCAATCTCTCCAAATATACAATACAAAGAAAGATAACTGAAAATCGATATAGTCTAATGTCTATTTAAATAAAACGCGTAGGAAGAAATATACTGAAATTTGAGTTTGCGAGTCGTCACGGTTAGTTGCAAAGAGTTTTCCTGTTTGAAGATTCTGGACGCCACGCTGGTGATGCGAGCGCAGCGCGCCGAGGTCTTTGACTATTTCTCCGGGCAGCTCGGTTATCGCGTCCTCTTCATCGAGTGCGTTTGCAACGATCCGGTTGTACTGGAGCGAAATTACAAGGAGATATTGCGGTACAGCGCTGACTATGTTGGCATGGATTCAATAACAGCCGAAGAAGATCTACGATTGAAGATAGCTCATTACATTCGATCTTACGAGCCAATGGATGAGAAGACGTATCCACGAATCCGTATCGACACCGGCAGCATGGACATCGAGTCCTGCAATGTGTCAGGCCACGTGGAGACGAATGTCCTTGGATATCTTGGAAGCGTCACTGTTGAGCCGCATACTCTTTATTTCTCTCGGGTTGGTAATCCATCAAATTTCACATTTGTCATCGTTTAATCCTCATCTCAGATTTCCTAATCCTAGAAGCCCAGTCTTAGCGTCTTTAGTCTTAATTAAAAGAATTTTTCGACAAGTGATAATGATAACGATAATGAAGAAACGTGTTTGTTCTTAGATTACGAGCTGAGTCAAGGACAATTGAGCCAGGTCGTGGCGCTTGCAATTATTGAAGAGATTAACGTACATAACTGAGCACGTCATTTAGCATGACGAGCCCACAATTGTTTACATACAACGTGTTTTACAAACATACGTATATGTATACGTAAAAACATACATATTGTATTTTTAAAATCTTGTTATCTTATCAGGGCTTGGTTCCAAAAGTAATTTCTTTTCATCTGATTGTAATCTTATCATTACTACGTCTTTCTTCTTGAACGTAACCAGAATATTCTACGATTTGGTAAAACTAAAGCTCTCTCTCTCTCTCTCTTGATTACAGCACGGCGAAAGCGAGTATAACGTATTGGGTAAGGTTGGTGGTGACGCAGTTTTAAGCGCACGTGGCGAGAGATATGCACAAGCGTTGGCCACCAAGTTCAACGCTATGCGTATTCCCGACCTGCGCGTGCTAACTAGTCGCCTTCGAAGGACTATCGCGACTGCTCGTGGCGTGGAAGCGCCCCAAGAACACGTGGCAGCACTCAACGAACTCCACGCCGGTATCTGCGAGGGTCTGTCTTATGAAGAGATGCAGGAACATTATCCGCAGGTAATTTCAAATCAAATGCTTTCCTCCTCGAAATTTCGTCATTGCTTGCATTGAATTCCGTCTCAAGTGTTGTTGACCAAAGGATTACTCAGACACGGCCAGTAGATTAGCGAAATAGCGAGTGAAGATAATTTATACTTTGAAGAATTACTACGGATGATTAATCGAAAAACGTGTAAATTCGGCTTCACTCGCTACTTGCCTAAACTTCTGGTCGTATTTAAACGAGCCTTCACTCGGTTGGATTTATCAGTCCCTAGCTCTAAGAGCTTTAATTTATTTGTGTAGTAAATGATAGATAACTGTAACAGTTATCATTGTAAGTTTCAGGATATAAAGTATAAGCTTTTTGAACTAATCTAATCATATCAGTATTATGTTAGAAACATTGTACTATAATTGACACATTAAGATTGATATTTGATAAAAATTTCCCCAGTGGTCGATTAGTTATTGCAGTTATAATTTGTATTTCGATAAGTTTGTGGTCCTAGATATGAAATATTTATTATCTATTAGGTTTGTCAATTTACTGCTCTAAGCGAACAACTTTCAATCGTAACTTGGAAAGTGAATAATTATATAAACTTTGCGAATGACCCAGGCATTGAATACTTGGCCACTGGGGAAAAGTATCGAGTGACTTAACGTCTGCGTTAACAGTCTGTAACTGATTAAAACTCAGTTGTATACAAATTTATCCACTTACGTCCACGAAATATTTGCTTGACTAATGAGTGTTGACTTTGGAATTTAAAGAAATATCCCAGTCAAGTAAATAGCACATTCACGATGATCAAAATGTTTCACGTTGCCAGATCGAATTCAATCAGTCTGATTAATCTGGACGAAGTTTTAGAATACGCATAAATGAATATTATAATTACAATACAAAGTTGACGTGTACTTATTAACCGTGTATTATAACGAAACTTAAATCATACCATGATTTGAATATTATATCGCAGGTCTACTTTATTAAAGTTTATGTTTAAAACTAGCCATTGTCCCTGACTTTGCATAAGCTAAGTTTTAATGCTTTAGGGACCTCGATGTACGAACTATTCCATGACTTACAAGCAAAACTATATACTTTAGTATATAGCACATAGATAGCGTATATACCTTCTATATCTCTAAACCAATGCTTCTGCGTAGGAATTTGCATGGCGCGATCAAGATAAGCTGCGCTATCGTTATCCATGGGGAGAAAGCTACATCGACGCCATGCACCGCGTGGAACCGGTTATTGCTGAATTACAGAGATCCAACAACATCTTGGTCGTGTCTCATCAAGCTATTCTGCGCTGCATCATCGGCTTCTTCACAGATAAAAAACCGGAAGAGGTGCCTTACGCTGAGGTGCCACTGCATACCATCATCCGAGTCAGCAGCCAGGGTTACAATTACAAGGTGGACTTCTTCAAGTTACCCATCGAGTGCGTGAACACGACTCGCGTGAAGCCGAATAATTGCAGCGCGGACAGAACCGCGGACGATGCTCTGCTCACAGTCCCAGCACATTTCGACATACCAGATCCTTGGCGAAATCTTGGCAGCGGACCCACTCTCGTGCAACAACACTGAGAAACCGCTCGGGGATCCACGATCATGTCGAAAATTCGATGTCTGTTTGTTTGTAACCCCTGGAGCTTTCAGCAGTGATGTCTTCTTGGAATATTTTTGCTTTTGAATTCAGGCAGGGGATGAAGATTTGAAATATCATGCAAGTGATGGATTGAATATATTTTTAGTATGTATATAAGTATAAGTAGATCGCTTTAAGATATCTTTAAGAATTACAGATTCGATGAGACGGAAGATGATGATATTGGAGTCAATTCAGAATATATTTTTCGATAAATAGATTGGATAGATCGTGTGAAAGAAACAACATGTAGGATCGAATAATTGTTATCGAGGCTAGAAATTTATTTCTGAAATTTTCGTTTTCTCATAAATCCTGAGAAACTTTGGTCGTTTCAACTTTGACTTGTTTATCGTCGAGTTCCGTTACCTTCGCGGGATGTACTCCGATTGTCGTGTTTTTCCTCGTTGATTCTGTTCCCATTGGCAATAATTTAGTATCCTGCTGCTGGAGCCCTCTATACGTTATGTTTAAGCAGTTTAATTTTAATAATCACATACAAGTCAAATGTTATATTAGCTGTAATATGTCACAGACGACTATCGCAACAAATATCTTAATTGTACACTGTGAAACGCAGAAAGACAGGCAATCTTGCGAAACATGTCTCTCGTATTAAATTCTATTTCAAAATATTGACATAATATATACAACGAACATACGAAAGACAGCCTTTTTTAGTATTGTACTATTTATAGGTGATAGAATTTTAGATTTATGTATTTTCGTTTGCTTAGTTCCTAGCACAACGATCGTAAGCCTTGAGATTTGGACGATATTAGGATTTTTATTACTGTAAAGTACAATTGAAGGATACTGTACCGTAGCGTTATATAAAGTTTGACTATAAAACGGACCTGATATCATTGTTAACAAGGAAATAACGAATATTGTATTTTTCGAGTGTGTATGAGTGTTCGAACGATAAATGTATATTTTTACGCACAGAATCAGCGATATACTGTGCTACGCTCTCGTTTAAGAAATGTCAAAGTAGCATTCGAGCAAAGTATTTTTCTCTACGAAGGAAAGCGCGAGAAATAATCAACAGAGGTTCTGATCAACAGAGATTAAGAAAGAAAAAAATCGATATCGAATGGCGCCTTCTTCCGTCGATACACTGTTACGTTTCACTTAGGGTTAGATTCTATCTCGTAGACCGCATAAATGTGCATAATATTTTATTAGGCATCACGTGGAAATCTTCGAGCAATCTATTTATCCAAGACAAGTTCGAGGATTCGCAAAATGTGAATAGAATAAAAAATAAATAAGCCTTACGAAATTAATTTATTCTGAGATGAATTAAGTACGACAGAGAGCAAATTAATTTTCTATACAAGTCAAGCAAGCGATTATTTGTCTTTGATTCGCGCGTAACAAATGGCACAAGTTATCTAGTCCATTCATTGCTGAACATTCTGGCGTTCTTTCATTTCTCTTTTGCTATGCGGGCGTCGAAATAAAAAATTATAGAGCGTTCTAAATGTTAAGTCGTATTAATACCTTTTAAACTCCTTTGTTTGTTTGTTTTTTAATTGTATATTACGAATAAACGTTTTTTACAAAATATCGTGGTACCTCTACATTCCTCGATCAATCTTCGTATGACTCATCGTAAATTATCATCTATGCGATAATCAATTTTAGCATAATTAAATACCAGTTAATTTATGATGCAAATACATTTACGGGTACATATAGTTAATATATGAAAATAATTCACATCGTGATTTCCCTAACATAACTTCCGCAATTAACATTCGATGACTCGTGTGTATGACTAGAATGATTCAATAGAAACAGGTACAGCTTTGAATAAGTTTGACTAGATAAAAACTGGTTATGAAGTAAACTGCGAACATGCATTTATGAGAAACTTATGAACGTACGTAATATGCAGAAATATATAGAGTATGTAAAATAGAGTAGTCGTTAGAATATTTAGTAAAGCAAGTTTCTGCTTAGGTTGCATTTCTTCACCGGCATCCATAAAAATATGAATTTGTATAAATATTGGCAGTTTACTATTCAAGACCCTGATGGAAGCTTAGACAAAGTCTTAACCATAGATCTTAAAACATCAGCAAAAATACAAATATTCCAAAAAGTTTCACCATTCCAAAAAGTTTCAATGAGAAACGATGAGAATCAATAAAATCCCGTCAGTATCCATTTTAAACGCCCGACCTCATCAATTTGACAGTATAATCTCTTTGTTTACTCGCTAAATGCAGGTCCAAGCTTCTCAGCATTCTGTCTTGAATCTCCTGGTCGTGAGACGACGTACTTTTCCATAAACCAGTTTTACAATGCGCCATTCTCGGCTCGTTTCTCGAATAAATCCCCAATCGAAAGCCAGAGTAATTCGATTGAGACGACTTCGAGTTTACATCCCATTTTGTCTCGCGAAGAACATTCTTCATGAATCCCACTGTAGCTCTGCGACAGGTGTCATAACCCAACAGTTGAATTCTTTTACCGTGAATCGCGTCTAATTGAGGCTTATTTAATTTGCTGTTAGTCACTCTGTTCATGATTGTTTCAACAGAGTCGGGTGTCCCGGGAAGATTCTCGAACACTTTGCGAAGAACTTCATTTGTCAGGTCTTCCTCGCTGCTGGACTCACCTGGCGAAAAAATTCCAGGTGTTAACTTTGTGTCTGGTTCAATTAACTGTAGAAACGTAAGAAGGCAGAACGAGGCACGAAAACTGTTACATATCGATTCCGGTTTGTAAACCAATCTTAAAGAAATATTATTTTCCATGATAGTAACGAAAAATCAAAATCAGTAAATATATCGATTTCTACGTCCATTATATTTTGATTCTATACCTTGTATGATTCTGCCTTCTTTACATTCCAAAAATAATATTTAAAAATTTGTTGGCTAATATCATAACTACATCACAAGATATTTGTTTGTTGTATTATTTTCTTTTACTTGTATTTAATATTAAAATTCTTCTGGATATCACTTTTATAACATGGAGCGAAAAATGTATCTGATCGGAAACTTTTCCTAAGAATAAAATTTTTTTATGATGTTTTTCAAAACACGAGAGAAAAATGGATTGAATCATTATAAATTCAATGCTTTACGTTATAAATTAGCTTGCAGGGAAACTAAATCGAATATCAAGACAGTTTTCAAAGAACAGATACGAGATACTTGGGTTCCGGAGAGGTTTCAAATTTCTGAGGAGCATAGGAAATTAATGATCATGGCAAAGAGGCCTCATAAAGAGACCAGAGAAGATGCTGGAAAAGTCGAATAATAAATTTATAAATTAATGTTACCGAGATCGCTGGTATAGTCCGTTGTGTACGTTCCATCTTTGATCTCTCGTTGCAGTTCCAAGATTCTGGCCAGCGCCAACTGCAGATACTCTTTGGCATTCGGCTCCTGTATAAACACCACATGAGTATACACGTTCTTAAATACTTAGTTTATATCTTACAATTTCCAGAATCGATAATTCACTCATAATCGACATTCACGCTGCACTCATGGAATTTACCTTCATCGGTTTGGCCTTCTTGCTATCGTTGTTTCTATCTGCCAAACACGGAGCCTGTATCGTAGAACACAATTAAAAACTGAACGTGTAAACAAAAAGCCTTTTTCTCCAACCACTTACCGACGAATATCTTTTCATTCTTACTGAGACACAACGAAACCACGAAACAACTTCACCATCGATCCACTAACGACCTTTCACGAACGACTTCACGCGATAACACTTTCTTTGTGGCACAGAATTAACGGTAGTCAAAAATAAATTCCTGCTCTCGGTCTTAAGCTTCTGCTGCTTTTCTCTTCCTCCCTATATCAGAGATGTTTCCCCTTCGAGCTAATGGTCCTTTTGCCCATCCAGATTCTTCTCCTTCCCCCAAAAGACGATTCTTTCCTCGTTTCAGAGTACGGTAGTTAGAAATGTAGGAAGACCGTTGACTGGCGTCGATGGGTATCGACTAACCACGTCCAAATCGTAGCAGTCCCTTGTTGCAGTAGAGACTGCTGCGAGGGTGACGGTTTGCCATGGCTTCACCCTCTCTCCGCTCCCCTTTCAAAACCCCTAGAAACGTGCCCCTTGCACTGGGCCACCCCTGCAGATGCGAACCATTGTATCGGGAGCCCCTGTTTGTTCGACGCGTGCCCTGTGCCCGATAAAAACGGTTGGCACGCGCCCCTTACTCGAAACTCACAGCGAATACGTTACAGACATCCCGGAACAGCGGCCATAGAATTGGTGTTTGTTACCCGTTTCACCGAAGATTGCGGGGATAAGACTCTGATAAATCTTGCCCCACTGGTTACTATCGATTCTTACGCAAAATGGAAACAAAACTGTACAATGGAATAAAGAATGGTTTATTCGTGGAAGTAAGGTTGAAAAGACGTGGAAGTGCTGTGTTAACTGGGCAGGGTTTTGGTTTGTTAATGTCATGGTAATTGGTCGTTGGCATCTGCACCAGATTTTTAAGTTTTTCGTATTACGTATACATCTGTTCATAAGTATTAGGATACTTGATATAACCTAACCTCAATTCTAAGCTGAGTTATTTAGAAAATTCTTCAGTTTTATGAAACACATATTTATTGCACACTTTTTGCTGCTAGTGCATGCCTGGTATTCGTATCCTACTTGCAGCCAACGCGGAAAGGAGATATTTGAAATTTCTTAGAAAAATACCTTTCTCGATAGTTTTTTACGTAAAGTTCCAACACGTGGCTTACCGTGCTTTTTTCAGGATTACGCATCATTATCGATCACAGCATCGTTTCATTTCCATTTTGCACGTTGCACAGAATTTTTTCTCGAGTTCTTCCCATGTTTGCCTTTAACCAGCCTTCGCCTGTTCCGAGTAAAACACCAGCTCTCGAAACGACTGGCACGTTCATTTTCTTCGTAAGGTCAGGGCTACACGAGCGTTGCAACGACGTCCGTTGCAGAAATATATTGTCGTATATTGAAGCGCACAGGCTGAGTATGTGAGTCGCTCCAACATACAACAATGTACTTCTACAACGGACGTCGTTGCAACGTTAGTGTGATACCGGCCCGAAACGACGTCGTAGTGGAGAACAGTACACCGCACAGTCTGTTAAAGTGGCTGTCTCTGACCGGGAAAAATCATAACTTTAACAATACAAGTCAGACGCTACTTTTCGCCTGTAATAAATTTTTCAAATTCACGGACACTGTCAACACTCTATATGTTAACATGATTTAATTATACCCAGTTACTAGTAGGTTGTTCAGAAAGTTTTGTAGTTCTGTTATTATGAACTTCTATCGAATAATGAACAAATACTGTTCCAAGTTGGCTACTAAAGAGAATCGAAGAGAAACATAGAAAACTCGTTAATAAAACAATTTCCTTTTCCCAGCAAGACGAGCTCTATATCTTTCACTTACTGGATATAGTATATACAATAGTCCGGTCATTTATTCATTGTGATCTTTACGAAACCTATAAGAAAGAGACACACAAAAAATTAGATACCCAAGAATCTTGTAAGAACTATTTACGCTGACCTTACCAAAAAAGACGAATAGTTTTCGAGGACAATATTCATGAAGTTACAGATGACAAAAAGTCATGGAAAGAGACGGTGCATATATTATTAAAAAATGTTAATTTTACGAGAATACATTCCTTTTAAATCTTTCCTAACCTTCGTTATGAATTTTCAGAACAACCTAATATAAGTATCGTATCTGCAAACTATTTACGGACCGTGTTCCGTAATAAACTAAATCTACTTAAAAAAATAAATATAGTAACTCGAATAGCTAAGCATTAGGCGATATTTGGCACAGTCCGCGCAGTGTCCGGTCATTTTTTCGAACGATCCAGAAAGCCAACTTAACACACAGCACGCTACGTCTAGTGGGAATAACAAACCCGAGTCCTGTCCGTAGATATGAATTTTTATTCTCGCCACACAGAAAGATTAGGGTCGTATGGTACAAGTCAGTTGGTTATGTCCAGGTATTTACATATTCCAACCTTGTATCGATTCACTTGGAAACGCTTCCGTCGTTGCGTGGCCTAATTACAGTTATAATAGGGGTATCGAGAAGACGTCCAGACGTTATCTGAACGACGAGAACGTCTATAACGTACGGAAACGCGACGGCCAATAGACGTGCGATGCTAAATCCTGTTAACAGGGGTGCACGTCAAACAGGAATTCTCGATTAACAAGCGAAGGGGGCAAGGTCGTCAGACAGAACACAATTAATGCACACAGTCCCTTCTAACGCCCTCTCTAATTAAATTTCACCACGCGATTCAATAACGTCGGGATCCTCTCTTCTCTTACGTGCGTTGTTCAGTTTGCCGCGATACAATCCGTCGAATGGTTTCATTCAAGGATCGACGCGATGCAACGCGGTAAGTATCGTAATAAGGAAAGGATCGGAGAAATGGCGGGAACCAGAATTTGGAAAGGATGGGGAGAGGTTGGGAAGAGGGAAGAGTTGCAACTGGCTAAGGCTATCGACAGGCCGCAGTGAATTAATTCGTTTCCATCGGCTCGAGAAAGGGATAATTGAGATTCGATAAAGGAGGACTATTTTTTTAATCTGGAAATTGACTTAGCGATCAATCGATATTGCCAAAGGTAAGCTCAAAAATAGTTCAGGTTTGTTATCGACAATTAGTCAAACGATCGAAAGATAATTGTTCAAAGCGATTGGAATATTAGTTACCGCTTGTCTCGAGAATGTCCTATTATTCGTGTTATGTGCTCGCGTACCTATACCGATGTACAGAGGCATGAACGAGGCAATTGGTCGAAAGTGTTCTTTGTATCAATGGCTTTGTTTCGAGAGCCGGTCCCTCCTGATACCGAAATGCGGTAATCAATTATATTACACTATTATTTTACGTCGAAGTCAATTAATGACGTTGAAAATCCTTAAGCTAAAAGCTGAAGCTGCACTTCGTCGATCAAATAAAAAATTATCGCGATTGCACGTGCAGATTTACGTATATTTATAGTTACAACGAAGAATTCGACTCATGTATTCATTGTCTCTCGTAATTCAATCATAATCGATCATTAATCATAATTGAAACATTCAACGTAGATCTACCTTACTTGCGAATGGTCCTCGATTTTTAACAACGTTTAACGTTAGTCTTCATCGTGCTGACATCTCGAGATCGTTTTGAAAAATGCATTACGATCTAGAGTTTCAAGTCGGTCTCGTGGTTCCGTCACTTGTTAACTCGTAAAGAGCGGTCGAGTTCAGTTCCTGAGTGTTTCTACGGAATATCGAGCCGAAGCTGGTTTCGTTGAAGTTGTCTCGTCCAACTATTCGTTTCCTTTGTGAAAATTTCGCTCTTCGATTGCCATTCCTGTCTGAACTGTTCGTTTCTGTTCGACAGACGCTTAACCTCCTTCTCCTCAGGCAACAACAAAGATATCTGTTGAATCTATAAGCAAAACCTTGTTCATCGGTCAGTACGTAACTTTATATTCAGATATGAAAAGCTTTCTGTTTGTTTTTGAATTGTTTGTTTCCTTTTTTGGGTTTTCGGTTTACAAACGTGTTTGTTTACAGGTGTGTACTCGTTTATACCGTTTGGTTGTTTGTTTAGTCAGTTATGATGTAGAGATAGCGAAATGAGTATGGATATGTTATCATTTCATGCAACATGTAGTATAGAATGTAATATAATAATTAGAATGCTGATATTTATGCATTTCAAAATATTTAAATAACATGGAAAAAGGTAGAAGGGGAGTGGAACAAAATTCTGTTTAGGTTCCATTTTTCCAATCGTGTTCGTAAGAACATAAATTTGCATAAACATCTCCAGTCTATGTATAATATTTTAAGGAGAATGTGTGCCTCGACTTGTTATTTCTATTTACAATGTTTTAGGTTTAATGACTGACATTTGATAGGATGCTTATCTTGTCATACTCGCCTCTTGCGAAATGTTCCGCTGACAAAATATAGAGCGATGGGATTGACACAGCTGTTGATGAAGCTCAGACAGAAACCAACGATCCTGAAGGCATGCCAATAGTCATCGTAGTCTTGCTCGGATGATGGACAAAAGTGGAACCACATCATAAACGTGTGGTACGGTAGGAAACAGATGAAGAAGATAACTACAAAGGCGATCACCATCTTTCCAACCTGTTGATCACAGCGAACGAAAGATACGTATTAAACTGGGACAACTAACCTGATATTTGGCCTAATTAGTTAAAATTTAATTATTAGAAACCTAGATTAGAATATCTTTTAGTAAGATAGTAAAAAATCTGAGATAAATAGTTAAATGTGGATTACGCATTACAATATTACTTCTTAAATTCTGAAATAAGCAGAAGATTTTCTCTATCGCGTTCTTATTTTTCTCTTCCGTCATTTTCTTCTCTATGATCCATTTCCTACTCTCTCGCTTCGTTTCCTTCCTTGCTTCTCTCCATTTTCGTCTTTTGTTTTTCTTCCTTTCCTTCTCTACTTTTAGCTTCGCTTTTCTTTTTTCCCTTAGTTGCCTTCTTTTCCTGTCGTTGCCTTCGCTTCACCCACTTTTCTTCCATTTTCTTTCTATTTTCTTTTCTTCCTCCCTCTTTTCTATCATCTTACGCGATGAACAGATAAAGATTTGACATGACAACTAGCGCTTGTCAGCAAGTTTTACGATATGTCCGTTTAAAAATATCTATAATAAGATTTCGCAGGTATCTGCCTCAGATCGATCGCGACCTTAGCAGGTTTAGTCATCGTTCAATCGATCCTGTAAATATGCTTTCAACGTCTCAACACCGATGTCGTTAGATAATACGCCTTTGCCTCAACTTTTGAAATATTACGTCAAATAAATTCTCAAGTTCGATATTTAACTTCTTTCACAGAAGCCTTTTTTATCTGAAAGATAAATAGAGATTAGCTGGAAGAAAACGTCGCCAAGAGAAATAGTCTTTTCACAGCCGAGGAACAAATCTGGGAAGAGTGCAGGCGTTCTAGCATCTACGAAAAATAAAGAGGCGATAACTCGTAGTCGTTCGAGCGAATGGATCATTTTGATTCGCATGCAGCGTGTCTTGGTATGGATCGCCAGCGGATAGCAGTTAAATCGAATCTCTCGTCCAGGCGTAATTCTCAGCCGTTATCTAGAGGTGATTTGTCATCATTGTATTTATAGGCCAATCGATTACATTATTTGTCCGAATTGTTCCATGAAATTGTATTAATCTCGAAACTCTATTTTCACGAAACATAGCTACCGTTATTACTACTACGAAATGGCTTTTTGTTATCAAAATGGATTAGAGAACGGTTGAATGCATTTGACGGACGAGAACATTGGAAAAGTAGAAGTAAGAACCGTGGTTATTGAAGGTTCCGTCGTATCTTCGCTAGACACGCTTCGATGCCACCTTCTATCGAATCAGTCGAAGTGAATCAGAATATCGAGCCGCCTGTGAAGTGATTTTTAAATCAGACAACAATGACTTTCTGTTATCGAGTATTTTAATACACTGACTTGGTGTATTCGATCAAACCATTGCACCCACGTTGCATAAAAAGAAATAAATTTCTATTGAAATAACAATTGGTCGAAAGTGTTGATCAAATATGCAAACGATAGTCATCTTAAATTGTGTACGAAGTTTTCAAATAAATTATTATTTTATATGCAACAGAAACGAGGAAGACGAAGAGTTGGCTCGTTGAAGAAACTTCATTGGTCGATACGTCGATATACTTTAAGATGATCGACCGTCACTTTTCATTCAAACACAATACGGAAAGTGAAATTGGATTACATGTTAAAGATATTGCCAGAGAATATCCCGATTTATAGTTTTATAATTAGCGTTATAATTAGTTTATAGATTTATAATTAGCGTTCTATCCCGGAAGTTATGGAACACCTTCTTCGAGTTGTTGGACTAGACTTGTTTCATCGATGCTTAACTGTATATTGGCTTAAGGTTGTATTACACAATCTTATTATTGATCGTATCGAAGATTGCGTAAGTAAAGTATAGTTTATAACAATTGCACCATCGACTCGAGATTTGCGCTAAATTAATTCCGCTTCTTCTTGCACCTTGTTACTCGAGTACATGATGAGCGTGACATTTTTTCAAAATAAATAATTCACGTCTATCACTCGATTTACATCACAGTTTAAGTAACAATTTATTAGAATTTAAATTTATTTACAAGTTGACTGCATATATAAGCAGTGTAATTTCATAAAAATATCATGCAGGTAGCAATTTCAATTTCTCTTTTCTACACCTTTTCACTGGTATACCTGTATACTTTTTGTGTCAAAATTAGATTTTACTTGAAAATTATATAATTTCATAATAATATCGATTCACTCTACCTTTTTGCGTGCTCGAATTTGCTCCAGCCGATGACATCCGGTGGATAATTCGCCGGGCATGTTCCTGGTGGATAGTTCGAGGTGTCGTGCCATTCCCAGATAGAATCCTGTTATAACGAGAAACGGTATCGCGTAGTAGGCCAGGAACTTGAATAACACCATCCCTTTCTTATAGCTCTTCCCTGCGTTTCAGAACGAGAAATAAATTATAGGACTTCGTGGGTGTGACACACGGAGAAATGTCCAAGCGGAGATCGTAAACGAGCAGCTATTTCGCTTTCTGTGTGTTCAGTTTAGGCGAAGAATACTTGCTCTTATAATTCGTTCCCGGATTGAGTAGAATAGTTTTTTAATCCGGATAGAAATATTTCAGCGTGTGAGATACTCACCGAATTCCACGGGGAAAGGGCTACAGATCTGGATGCTGTAGTTAGTCTTTATATCTACGATCAGCACATGAGAGAAAACAGCACCTGGCATCGCCAGAACAATCGCCAGCACCCAAATAAGGCAGGCTATTAGTATCGTTAATGGTTTTGCACTCAATCCGGCTACATGGCGACGAATGGGATTTACGATCGCACAGTACCTACGATGCAACACGAGCATATCTTTCTTTTATTTGTAAATCAATTTTTATTGGAACTTTAACCCTGAAATACTACAGAACGGAATAATTTATATTCCACTTAAATGTTTCTTTTAGAGATGTCTGTTGTGCGTGTATTTTTATTACTGTTAAGAAATGGTTGCTATTTATACGTTCCGAGCTGTCCCATGCAACAAATATACCAACTGTAATATTAATATGTTGGTAAAATAGAAATCTTAGATTATATATAGATTTCTGTTTTACAATTTATTTATTATTTTACTATTTATTATATTATTTTATTTGCTTTATTACTAAATTTATCACTATTGGGCAAGGATGTTTAACGTCTTCTGTTTTATTAAACTTCACTAACGATACTAATTCAAATGTGCAAATAGATCCTGATAATTATTTGGCATGGAAGAAATCAAAATTATTTAGCAACGTATCGTTTGTTCGAAATGAGCGTTGTGTTAATAAAATGATATGTAATTTTCAATATAGCGTTAAATTGGATTGTGTATAAATGTAGTATTGCAGGGTTAAGATCATCTTATCTGATCAAATGAATTCTTCAGTTATACTTTATTTTAACGTTGAACTTTCTTATTAATGTAAATTAATTGATTTTCTTAACAGCGCAAAGGAAATTGGACGTTTAAGATTTCGTTTCGATTACTGATTAAACGCACGAACAACCAGTCGGTCGATTGGTCCATTAATGGGGCGGAACTTCACTAAAGTTAGGACGGCCAGCCTATCCCTGAGACAACAATTTCCTCAACCGTAACTGGGTTTGACAACTTACCTCTCGGCTGATAACGCGGTCAGAGTGAAAACTGAGACACCGATCGAAATATCCTTGGCGCACTCCGATAATTTGCAAACTGCCAGGCCCCACGGCCATGACTCGATTGTGTATAGAAGAGACGTGAACGGTACACTCGTTATGATCACCTGAAATACACGAAAGTTAAAAAGAGAAGGTACACGTGTATTGTATTGTATTGTATTTCCACGGTCAATTGTAGTCGTGTTATTCAATCTACCCTTTATCGAAATTTTATTCGAGTATTTTTCTGTACTTTTGCGAAATTTGATTGAATACTACGAATATGTGGGAAACGTTTGAAAATCTGTTTCGTTGAAAACGATGCCTTTGAAATTTCGATAGGTGAGAGCAATAAAATAAACAATACTCAATATTATATTTGTACGGCATCGGGCATATAGTAAAATTATTAGAGAAACATTTATCAGGATTCATTGTTATCGAGAAAATTAAAATAAAAAGGAATCCGCGATAATGATACAGGAAAGTCTATTAAAAATATTCGTGATGAATTCACGTTCCACGTCCTTTTAACATACCGTGTAACGTTCACTCAATTTGCGAAAAAAAGATTCCTTCATTAACTCGCTAAATTTCACCTGAAATACGGACATCTCTGATGAATTTCGAGATAAAAGGGGAATATTAACAGGAACGTTTTGTATTGAATATTATAATAAAAAATGTAGATTAAGCGAATTTTCTGCAATTTTATGCGGGATGTACAAATTTCGTCGTATGATCGAACACTCAATTATGCTGTTGCTCTCTTTTCTCAGTGGTAATCGTGAAATACACATTTTCTTTGTGTTTGAGTATGATCTTTCGAACACTATAATCGAGAAAATTTTTATTTATGATTTTCACACATGATATCGTATGGACCGTATTAATCTTTGATTATTCTCCATCCGGCTATAAATTGTCCATGGATCAAGATGTATAGCTACATATATCATAAAGTAAGCTCGATATCCACGAAAATAAGCGCGTTTATAATCGAACTCGTTATTGGTCCACGATTACGTGTCCAGAACGACGGAATTTTAACGGCTGATTCAAGGTGTCATATAACATGTGCTTCTTTTAGACGCGTATTATTTAGTAAATAATACGGCGATTTATGAAAATATTTGAATATTTCTAGAAATTTTTATGAACGTATTACGTGTATGATACAAAAAAATTGGAAATTTCGTTACTAGACTATCATGATTATATTGGTAATATATGTAACAAACTAAAGAACACGTATAGAAGTTACAAGATATTTATTTCAAGCATACAATTCGCAGAAATCGCTATATCATATAAATATATATTGTATTATACAAGAATAATTATGAATTTCTAAGAGACTTAAATTCTTCTATATTATATGTGATAATAAAGAGTAATGTCTGCGTTTCCCATGTATTTGTACGATATAATCAATTTTATCAATATAACCACGACAATCGACAATGACAATAAAACTGTCATAATATATATTCAGAAAAATTTTCTGTGATGGGTCTTCAGATGCTTTCGTGCGTTATCGTACCTACTTACATTCTACGCGAAATCGATGACGGAGAAAGTACCGGATGTTCTGAACTCGCTCGCGACAGATTTATACGCGCGATCCGACAGTCTGAATAAATTCGATATATCGCCAGGATACAAATGACATGGGGTCCTAGCAACATTTTCCGATTGACGGCAAATCGAAATGTAAAGAGGATCCCGACGAAGGAAGGAAAGATTTTTCTCATCTATATTCGGAATATTCATGGATTGTTAGTTTCCACCATTCCAGCTTTGTCGCAATTTATTTCCAACTTATTGGACATTCATTTTGATTTATTATATATATTTATACGCGGAATACAATGGGTAGCAGAGAGCTTTTTCAAGATATATGAATCATAACCACAAGAAGTACAATTAAATATTTATCCCTTCCGTGTTAGTAAGCTGATGAATCTTTTGATTGTGGCTTGCAAGAATAATAATAGATTAGTTTAATTCTACCCAGTTAATTATTCATATAGAAATATGTTTTTACAAAATTTATGCTATGAATTTTTGAACACATTTTATATTTTATGGGAGGAAACTCTCGACATGTTTTGTCCATCTGAACGTTTCTCAAACGTGCATGAAATCTTTCTCCATTTTATTCGACGCCAGAGATACCTTTTTTTAACGTCGGTCTTGAATGATACATTAGAGATAATATATACACATCCTGTCCTTCCTTACCAAAAGATCGCCCAAAGCCAACGAAAGCACGTAAATGTTGGGCACATTTCTCATGCTGGCGTCGCTCAACAAAGTAAACACCATGATTCCGTTTCCAATTACACCCACCACCAAGATTAATAAGAATATCACAGGTACTATGTACGTTTCCGGGCGCTGATCGTATGGAACGTAATTATTGTCCTCCTTGTTGGGGATCGTTGCATTCAGATTCACAGCCATCTGTAAAAGAATAAATCCACGTCTTTTCCATTCTTGAATATTCAACCTCAGTCACTGCAATTTACTCCCTTTTACCACGTTAAGGACAACTTGAAATTCTTCAACATTTTTCCAGCAAATTTATTTATTTTTCCGCGGAATAACAAAGCAAACTATGCGTTATATATTTTATTTCCATTTTCAAACGTCGAACGCGCGTACTAACTCTATTCGTTACACGTATACATTTTTATAGAGAGGCAAGATTTTATTTGTCAATCAAATTAAACATGAATTTCATCAATCAGATATTTTTATTTATTTTAATTCGATCGATTGCCCTTCGACAAATTGCGCCGGTTGTCGATCGTTATTTCCTCACGATGCTTCTACGTCTAACTATCGAATGATTGGATAACAATTTCTCATCGAACCGGAGAATCGGTTGGATTTCGACGATCAACTACTAGTTCAAAAATTGAAACGATACCAATAAACGTGCCTTTCTCCCTCGTAAAACTAGTCACTCAACTATACAGTCATTTGAATGTATTGTAAACGTTCTACTTTCCGTGTATTTCCATGAAGGTTAGCTAAATTGGTATGTGGGCGAATGTGAATTTACGTGTGTGTTTATTCACTAAAAATAAAACGAGAAACGTTCCCGTCGATAGTAGGTAGACAAAGAAATTGTTCATTTCTTTTGATATTTCAAGAAAACTACCTCGGCACCTGTGTGCGCGTTTTAAACAAATTATTTGCCCAATGGCACGTGGTAATCACCTATAATCGGAAGCTTTGTAGTTTTCAGCTATAAGGAGACTGTACGAATATTTAAATTGTATTTCGGCTATGTAGTTATTGGAAAAATTGGAATATTTATAGAAAACTTTTATAAATATATTGTGTTTTATATGAAATTATTATAGTTACATCGGTAGAGTTTGTAAGAAATCTGTAAACGTATATAGAAACTACAAGATATACACTTATATCGTCACGTGCCACTAATATTTCATAGAGATCGTAATATTGATTTAAATAGCTCATCATGCTGTTAAACCTAGATATTCAATCAGACTATTTTTAATATTTATTATATGTTTAGAATAATTGCTTATATTATATACTAATTTTTGTATTAAGTGTTTTAGTATTTTTCAAGCAATCTTTTATTATTAAGTAATTTTTATATTATGTATACATAATAGTATCCCATTAGTAGTCCTAATTAAATTCCAAACTGTTTTATATAACACAGACAATATATGCGTAAAAGTTTTCTACGATAAATATTCAAATATATGCAGCGTAGCGAACCATTGTAGGTAAAAGAAGCAAAGAGAAAAGATGTATCACTCGACACGAGATGGATTTCTTTTCACGTGAGAGAAAAAAGGTCCCTTTTACCAGTCGAGTGCGATTTCCTTCAGTTACTGACTAAATTTTGTCTCGACGTTTTAATATCATTCCCCAACAATGGCGCAAAAATCCAATGTGTATTCTTTAAAATAGAAAAACAGGTAGAGGGACGAGGAAAACGAAGCTCGCACGCCCAACAAGCGACATTTCATTGAAATATAAGTTTTTTATTTTTCATGAAAAATGTTTCTATAAATAACATTTATGCATCCCTATAAATTCCATTAGTATTTAAAATATATCGCTTGTTTGTTCGTGGTCCGTGTTTTCTTTATTTAAACACGACAAGAGAGTAATGAAAACGAAAATAACATCATGTAAGCGAATCTGACGGAACGTTCAAATACTTTGGCGTCTGCATATTTTCCACGATACTTTTTTCAAGCGAGCGAACATCTTGTGTATTCACTTTTGCATCGTCTGTTTGTTATTTCCAGCAAGTTGTACAGACGAAGTTGCAATATCACGGTTCCATCGCTTCAGCATCCTGTTTTCGAATTAATGTAGTTGAGCCACCCGCGTCAGATGGATATATATCCGTGTACCATCTTTTCTAAAATATTTTTCCAACGTCCGCTTTTTAAATTTCGATCATATGTTTTTGTAAAGCACAAATTTGTTTGAACTTTCGAGTTATTTCCTCGCTCGGTGAATAGTTAATCTACAGTGGTAATAGCGCTGTATGTTGAAACAAGTATATCTTAAATATATAATTAATGGTAAACAGGTTTCTACAATACTAACAATATTGTAGTTCATTAATATAATTGTAACTAAAAATACTATATTACAATGAATAATTTTAGCTATTGAATATTAATACCTGTTGAAGGTAACTGTTAATTGCAATAGATAGCTTCTAGCCTGTTCTAAGTTTTACCAATCTAATCACGATAATCGAGTCTCATTACTCAAAGCGAAATTTCCAAATGTTTCAAAGGGTATAATACTCAACGATAAATTAGCATGAAGACATTTTGAATGTAGTTTTTTCGTGGCTTACCACGCGGCGTGTTTCATTAAAATTTATTAATTGCTCACAATTTTCAGACGTTTTCAATTTCGAGCTCTTTTGCAATCAGCTGAAAGTTGCATAGGCACAAAGGGAACGTAACTATGAAATTTTCTCTCAGAGTATACACGAGGTACAAGAGTTCTTGGGGATCAAGCATGAAGATTAGGGGAAACTATAGTTAACGGTAAACGTTGCACGCGATTGTAAAGATAAGACACGAACGTAAGCGAAAATGCTTACTAACGAAGTATAATATACGTTGAAGATTGCACGTTAGAATTGCAAATTGCGACGTTGTTTCTTACTGATCTGAAAACGCCAACATCCTAGAAAACTCTTTAAAAGAGAAGAGAACATTTGTGCTGGTGAAACGATTCAAGAATGCAATATAATGGAATGATATTCGTGTAATTGTCTTTTAACTCCGCTTTTCATCCTGTTTTTTTTATTCCTTTTGATCTTCCCAAGTCTTTAAATAAGTCTCTTCTATATTTATCATCGAAAATATTTTAGTTGGAAATGGAAAGGAATAAACCTTGCGCTATAGTGTCATTTTTCATTTTCCGATACGCCGTTCCTTTTGTCCCATGCAAAACCCACGCGTCCATATCTGGATGCTCGATAACGAATCGCGGCACAATAAAAACTAATCAGATCGATCACGTTGCTATATGACCTTTCTATCATTTTAAATTGATATAAACTCAACGACAGCGACAGCGTCGAATGCTTCACGGTACGGCATTTGGATGGGGATTTAGGACAAAAATCAGAATTTGCTGGCCGCGTTCGCACGCTTGCGGGCCACGTTTGCACGTTTGCAGGCCACATTCTCAGGTTCTACAGTGCGGCGTTTGAATGAGGATTAGGGACAAAAATTTTAAAAAGACATATAATATGCAGTTTTCCAGAAACTTGATATCAGGGAATTCGATGTGAATAACAGGTTGTTTACCAAATCTCCCTTAGTATTTTCCTTACTTCCTGACTCAGTTTAAATAGCTCCTTTTTGTAAATTAAAGAAAAACAAGATTTTTGTCAGATATTATAGACACCTAGTAAAGAACAGAGTTTTCATGTAAAAAACTTTTTCAGACAAGTGTGGTAAAAAATCAACCTGCGTGGCGCTGTTGAGAACTGTTCGACTCGAAAATGCTCGTCGCTGCTATTTCGAAACTTCATATTCTGACGAGAAATCAATACAAAAGTAACTAACCGTAGAACCTACAAATTTTTTAGAAAGTCAATTTTCCATGGAAAAAAGTTACTATTGTTGATATTTATAGCATCAGTCTCCAACTACCTAATGGTAAAATGAACGAATGGTTCAATATAAGAATTTACAATTAGAAAGATAATTCCAAATTGACTATCGTAACGTACGGGTTTATAATGTAAAGTAGCAGCATTCAAAAGACCAAATAATTCTGAAGGCAAACTGAATACGTAATTCCAATTTCTAAAAGTTTCTTCAGTTTCGTACCAATATAGACGATCGTTATCGAAAAATTTTTCAGAAGTCAAACAATAAAAGTTGATAGAGTTGGTCAGTTTAATTTCCATGTGATTCAAATGTGTAATAGATGTCCTCGTATTAATCGAATACTAACGATATCGCTTTAACGATACTTGAAAAGGAGTTTTAGCTCTTCTAACGAAGTAAAACGCAGATACACATGAATTAATGAAATCTCGTTCTACATCGTTTGATTTCCAAAGGAATTTCTTATCTTCTTAGAAAACAGTGTTTTATACGTAGTAACGATACCATCGATGAACGTATGTGTAAATTTCACGAGCTGAGTCGCGTATCTTGCACGATCGTATTCTTCGAAACTTTATGGCTTCCCATAGCGATTCTCCCGTCTGTGAAACTACGTATTGTCTCGCTTCGTTACCGGCGAAGTTAAACGTGGTGTCTCCCGAAGTGATATTTCACGGAGTTGATAAATAAGAGAAATGGAACGAAATCGACCGCGTTCGAAAGAAATTGCACCATCTGAGTTTAATTTATCCACGTCGCAGAATCGCTGAAACTTCGTTATTTCACGAACATTTCCAACGATTTCGTCACACTTTCGTGATTTCATGACTGGTAATATATTCCTTTCGATTCCCTGTTTGTAGAATTTTACGAAGACCTGTGCAGCTTCAGCGCGATGTTCCATGTCCCATGAATCAGACTAGATTTACGCCTGAACTTCGTGAACGAGTTTGAAGCGAACACAACGTGTGACGAGTTTCGTGCCACGCGTTAAAAGAGTCCAACTTAGTTTTCAAACAGTCAGTGAAACGTAAAGCAACCGTGGCCATGGTATAAAATGATATACAAGGTGTTAAAGCTGTGAACGATATTTATAGGATTTTATATATTATATGTCAGATTAATTTTTAATCCTGCAAGTATTTTCGGTTTATAACTGGTATTTAAAACAGTCCTTCGGTTTGTTGCACGTCCTTACAAATTACGGAAAAAGCGGATGGGTGTCTGACGGAAAAGCCGGTTTTTCCCATGCACAAGGTTACCCTCAAGCCACGTCGGTAGGAGGCTTCCTCCTCCAATCTTCACTTATTAATATTGGCTATAACCAATGGGCATCGCGGATCGTTGCCCTCACTGTTCTAACGAAAAGTGTGAACAACGAATCCACGTCCTTAGTTCAGAGCTTCACTTATTCTTCATCGTTAGAATAGTCAACATGTGATTACCGAGTTACTATCCTTAAATCAATCATTTACTTAACTTATACATACGTCTTAGTGTAACTCTTAAGTGTTGGAAATATAAATTTTATAACCCTGTTAATCGCAGCGTTATACCAACTCAAGTACCCCTATTATCTCAACGGAAATTAGGGGATCGATCTATTCGCGGCGTCGATTATTATAATCGTAACGGGAATTTACGACTCCCTTTGACGTGTTTCCTCGCGAAAATACAGTTGGTTACACGAATTATTTTCGAAATAAATATTTATCCAAGGTAGTCATTCGAAAATCATTTTAAATTCACCGATAGCTGCATAGATCGATGAATCAGCTGATAAAACTTTCTCTTCATTCTACTCACATCTCGCATTCTCATTTTGAGTCAGATAGAAATGAAACATATAACAATGGAAATTCTATTGTCGTTTGTTTTCTTAGGAACGAAGAACGCAAAGTTCGAGTAAAATAAAGGGAAAAATCCGTAATTCATAAATTTTTACCGCAAAATTAAATTGTCTATGAATTGAAAAATAAGCTTTAAATCTTCTTGTGTATGAATATTTTGATCTGTTGAATGATATACTGTAAAGGTCCCCCACGTCTTCTCATCATCCTGTTACAAGTATCGTGTTAAAGGTGTAGTCCCCAAAATGTTTTTTTAATCGTCTACGATCCCAGACGAAAGGAGAACTATCGTATTACGTTCTCTTAGAGCAATTGAAAAATAACTCTCGTACTTGCGATCGAAACATTCAATCTGCTAGTTTCAGATTCGTTAATGGTATCAGTACCATGCCTTCGACGTTCGGAATAAGATGTATCTGTTCTCAACATCGTAGACACCCAAGCTATCTATTTTCACTCTTCTTATGGTAGGGTGAAATTGAATTGCGGTTTTGGAATTTCTCCTTGTATCAGACTATCAGTTGAAGTACATTCACGGAAAACAGAATGCCACGGAAATGTGTCAAGCTTGACATAATCCAATCACAGAAGTCATAGAAATTGAAATATTATAATTATTAAAAATGTAACTCCCTCCGATAATGCACTAGTAAAATCATCTTGTTCCGGTATGAAAGTGATACACAATTCTATGGATTATACTATTATTATTATACTATACTATTCTTTCCATAAGTAAAATACACAAAATTTGGCAAAGATTCTTTCACTGGAATATCGACACGCATTTAGAAATCGCCCTACTATCATAGCTCACACATGGAATTAAAAGGATTGTCATTGCATTCATAGTTGCAGTAGTATTTGTAATAATTGATATTAATGACGTTATGCAAATATTATTCGCCCTGTCGCTGAAAGTGATTATTCGAAATTGCTTCGGACTGAAATGCCGTGAATTCGTTGCGACAGAGGGTAACAGGTGTCATGTTGTAAATATAACGCAGCGGGACGCGACTAAATGTAATTTTTTAATAACGATAATCCTGGTTGTATTCGCAACGAGGGAAATGGCGATTGCGGTGCACAGATTTAACGTTGTAAAAATACGTCTGTCACATACATATCCTATGATGTGCCACGATCAACGGACTGAAACCGATTGCCGACGAAGTGTGGCCGAAAAATGGACGATGCATGTGTAACGACGTTTCAACGATCCATTCTAATGGGCCACGCATATTCATTCTCGTTCAAATTCGACCAGTCGTGTGAAAAACGCGATTTTATTCTTTTATTCTTAAACGCGATAATCTGGTTTGATGTATAGAATCAGTACACAATAAAAGCAGCTGATATTACGATATTGATTTATCATTTTCACGAGTGTTGGATTCTCTGTACCTGTTATTATACACGGATATACGATACAGAAAAATTAATAAACTAACTCGATAGTATTTCAATCTTATGTGTATTGAATGGTGAATTTGTTTTCTAGCCGATCTGGAACGAATACCTGAATCAGGTTCTAAAACCAATTATATTCGTACTAACATACTCCACTGTAATTCTGTTTTAGGATAGTACAAAATTAGTTCGAATATGAGAGATGTGCTTATTTTAGAGATTCTCTGTGTACAAACATTAGAACATTTTCCAGATGAAAACCTTATAGAAACTAATGGACAAAAACCTGATGTTATTTCTTAGAACGAGTTAAATCCGAGAGATAACAACGGTATTAAAACATATCGATTAATATCAAGTATATTCTATGAGTTAAATAATGACATCGATTCCTGCTGATACAATTGTTACGTTCCTGTTTTTATTCATTTTAACGAGACAATGGATAATGCGTTGGAATAAATATTTTTATATTTAATACGAAGGGAAAACATTTCTAACGAAAAAATATGTACAATTCGTACGTACAATATGTACGTGTACGTGTAATGGTAATAACTATATTAAGAGAAATCACAAATGAAATATCTTCAAGATTGTTTTTACGTACCAGCGTATGGGAAATCTATCTTTCTCACGAACTACGCTTCCCGCTAGAAACTTTCCCTCAAGGACGGCTAGCATCCCTCTCTAACCAACAACATGGAAATTGACCAATTAACAGCAACATCAATTTCCCTCACTTTCCGAACGAAGACATCTCTCGACGAGTCCGATGATCTCGTGTCCTTAGACACACCCTATCATAGTTTTCCTCTACAGCATCATCGGTCTCATTAGAGAGTGACTTATCGTCTTTACGCTCGGTGGATATTCCACGTTTTAACAAAGAGTTAGTTTAGTAATACTTGCACCGTAGCCAAGCAAGTCGACTACGACTTGGGCTTTAGAAGAAAGCGCATTCTGTTACCCGCGGATTCGTTGTTGGACCTAGGATCATTGTCATTAGCTTCTCGAGTGTCTGATTACCGCGGTTACTTGTCAAATTCTGTAATAGTCGTATTTCCACTAGTCAATGTCTTCTCCATTGCATAGCAACAATGTGTAGTCCAAATGAGTATTCGTTTCACGCCCCTAACCCTAATCATAATGTGAACCCGACATGTATGTAGAAACCAATACCTGTATAGAAGCTCCAAGACATTCATAGCGTTCTGTACTGCAAATGATATTGCAATGGAAACCGAATGGTGGCCCATTAATTTCGGGATAACCAGAAATTGGTATTCGGAGAGTACAAGCTATGGTTTAGGTTCCATTAATTATTTACTAGTCGGAACTTGAGTTTGAAGCGTGCCCTTTTAGAAGAAAGTTCCTGATGTATTGTCGATGTCGTGTTTACGGATGAACTAGCATTAAGTATCGATAGATGAACATACTATTTCCACGTTTGCGATGCGGTGATATTCCACAGCTTGTGTAACTTTAATCAATGTCTCAGCTTCCCTTAAACTTTAAACCGTTTTGAATGGAATATTCATGCGAGTTCGCAAATGTTGTGTCGAATTATAATGATTTGTAGAACCATGCACAATGTCGCGAGACGTCGTCCTAACGAAGAAGATGATGAACGATACATCGCCTCGTCGAAGAAAATGGACGACTGTTAAGAGTTAACCATTACAGAGAAGATCCGACCCGAAATTCACTTTACGTATACTTATCGACCATATTCTCTGTTATATTCTTTTACGAGCTATGGGATGGGTTTAACTTCTCCCTAACGATCGTCTCTGTGTCACAGAAATTGCATCGGTGGATCGTTTCCTTAGTGTGTAAAAGCTGAAAATTTTCTGATATGAAAGAGATATTCTCAATACACGTTCGTAATACGTTCGTAATACGCTCGTAGATAAAATACTACGATGCGTTCAAGCTATTTGAGGCGAGTAAATGCACGATACACTATAGAAACGTAATGGCGCTGGTTTCGTAATTTTTTAAGGCAGGCTGTTTTCTTTGGTGTGTAATTTATGGAATGTTCGCGCGACGCTTCACAAAGCGGGACTCTAAGGCAGAGTTCGCGTGGCTAAAGGGTTTTTCAAGATGTAAATACCGCTTCCTGGAAGTAGAAGAACATGCGAAACCACTTAGTACACGAGATAATCTTTTGGGTATAAATTATTAATCCTTAAATGCATAGTGGTGTCGTCATTTGATAATATAACTTTTTTCTTAACATAGCGAATATATGCGAGGCATTGTCAGCAGAGTTAGACTAAAACATATTTCTTCTAAATGTGAGTTTATGAATAAAATTATTATATTATACATAGTTCGATACAAGTAACATAAAAATACTATCAAATTAGTTTATTTCATTTGTACGTTTGATTATCCTATTGTCTCCGTCTCTTGTTACAGTAAAATGTTTTAAGAATTGTGTTATGCAATCAACGAGATAAATAGCTGATTACATCTTCGCGATAATCGACCTGCAATTTGCTTATATCTTTCAGACACGTTATAGCCATCTTTGATAACAAAGTACTTTCCCCAGTAAAAAATTAAAAAAAAATAAATGGCGTGAATTCAATAATTTTTCTATGATTTTGTGGTTTGATTATATCTAGGGAGAAGAATCAAGGTTTGACAAATATATTGCAACCATTTCTGTAACTCTTTAGCTACAGAAGTGTTTCACTTCGCATTCTTCCTTCTGGCAACGCGAAAACTCATCACGACGGATATCTTGAGGTACGAAGTTAACGAGAAACTTTATCCACTTTGTGACAATCTCCAGAATGTAACTTTTTCAATTAGGTTCAGAATTTGAACTTTCAAATCGAAATCTCCGTTCATTAGTTCGTGTGCAAATGAACCGAACGGGAAGGAACAAGTACCGTGCTGATGTTGAAGTTCAGCGTCCTACGAAAGTAATTCGTGAAAGTTGCGAACTGCCGAAGAAGTCGAAAAAGTTCTTAAAGGTTCGTGGGTAATTTTAATTTAGTTCCAAAGTGCAAGAAACATTTGGATACGATTAAAATTTCCGCGTGAATATAAAGGGTGATCGTTAGGAATTGATTTCTGCACGATGTCATAGCGAAATTTAGAGAACATATAGAACCAAACCGAGCAAATACACCATTAAAATTGGCAAGCACCTGTCGCGTCGATATCGCGACACGGTTTTATAGGCTTTCCACTTTCATTAGCTTCCCAAATTGCAATATTCGCGAGATTGGAATCAAACCAGAATTATATCTTCGACGATTATTGGAACGAGCGAAAATTTCTACGGATAGTGATCACAGAATTTGTCAGTCAGCTGATAAACGTATTGAGCTAACATGATTTGCAAGGGAAACCTTCCGTTTCCATATCAATTTCAAATCTATTTGGCTATGATCGCGTATCCCTCGATTGCCACATTTTTATGGAAAACTCTCCTTATTAAATGTACACAAGCGGATCGAACGATGGACGGACTGTTCCATTATTCTTTCTAATAAAAAATTATTATTTTACTTTTGGAATGGACCATCGAATCCATTTCTGAATAAAATTTGTGATCGTGATTGTTTGTACACTTTGGAAAATTGTATGTTGACTTCCAACGTGTTAAATAGCATTTAAGTTTTGTTAATGAAATGTTCTCCTCTCGTGTCGTATTCTGGAGGGTGGTTTCACCCCTTGAACTCGAGTTATCGCGGCTAAAAAACATGTGCAATTATAAATGTAACTGTTCTTCGAGTTTCATCCAAGTTTTGTTATTGGGATCAAATGCAAATTTCGAGTCTGTCAGATTTTTCTCTGTAAATCAGCTAAAATGTCCGAAGCTATTCTCTCAAGTAACTTGTAATAACTAACCCTTACTCGAATCTCTGCCCTGGGCAATGTTCACTCCATTGATCAGCAACTTCAGTTACCGGTCACCTTCACTAAAATCGTTCCATGGCTCAATGCCTCGAGGGTGCACTTCCAGCTCCAACTGTTTTCTTGGACGGTGTCCTCTACCTACATCGATGGCGGAGAATAATCTGTCGTCTCGCGAGCAATCTCTCTGCAGACGCTGCCGTGTAAACTTGCAACTATTTCCTTGACAAATCATCTTCTGTGGACGACGTCCATTTCGTGGTTATTTAGTGGTTACTTTCACCAAAATTGTCGACCACTTGATCACTGTGAAACTTTCCGGGGGATTCTTAGTAGTTTCACCTACTTTCACAGACAGTGTCTATCCCAGGTTAGTAAAATAAACAGGCTATCGGGACCTTATTTGGAACGTAGAACGATTTTCGCTATCAGAGATGCAGATCCTATCAAGCAAAGGGGAGAAACTCCGGAGAAAGGAAATTGACGCTAAAACATAGTTACACAATCTAAACGAAGAATGTCGAAAAAGGAATATGCTAGGACTACAAAAAAATGTTAAGGACATTAAGAGAAATTCCAGTAATAAAAAACAAAACTGACACGAAGTTCGAAGAATAAGTACAGATCAAGAATATCACCGAAGAAAATACAAAAAAAAAAGGTAGAAGAAAAGACTGGACGAGAACACTAAACTGTAGTTTTACTGATAAAGAAACAGGAACACCAAAGAGAGTAGTTCAATGAATAAAAAATAGCCTGACGATGCTAAAAATCAGCAATAAAAAAAGGTATACAATCATTATACTACCATTCGCGGTATGATAGCCCTGATATATTGGAAACTTTTAACCTTGCTTTCGATTTAATAAAATTTGCAATCCCACTGAAAACTTTTAATTTCAGTTCATCCCTTAACTCGAATTACTCCGAGATTCTCTCGTTGATGGCTGTATATAGTTAAAGGAGGGGAAAAACTAACCATTGGCAGAGGTTTATTCTTCGACAGAAGAAGTCTCGTTGAGACTATTCTTTCTAATCACTGGAACGCTGAGATTTCCAACGTCATTTTCTTGTAATAAATCCAGCTGATATCAACTACCGGAAGCACCTACGCGCACTAACACGTTCGTGATATTCATTTCAAAATAACGCGCGTGTGTTTTATATTTCGTGTTTCCCTGAGCATCTCATACTTCTTCATAACATCGTTGAACATTCGTCTGTTTACCGATGGAAGCAGGAAAACGAGGGAAAAATATGTAGACGAAAAGAAGGAATCTGTTTTAATAACGAACTATGAATATCTATGCAAAATTTTACGAACATGATATCATGAACGACCTATATCTTCATTTGTTGTTGAATAGAAATTAACGGTGCTGTAAACACGGTTATCATAAGATCTACAACTTCACGATCTTATTAAGTATACTTTTTCTGCAATATAATCGCAGAGACACTTATCGGGATTATGTATTATAATGAATATTGTGTAAATAAGAAAATTGAAATGTATCGAACACAAATTGAAGATACTGAAGTATAAGATTCATGTACCGTAATGAATATTTTGTTTAAATACGTTCAAATGTATCAAACAGAAATTAAAGATGCCGCAGGATAAGAATTATTTATTACAACGAGTATTTCATTTTACAAAATTGGAGTGTTTCAAACAATAATTAAATATGGCTGGAGAAGAAATATTTATAAGAGTTAGGCTTGGCTTAGATTTTTCTTACTTATCTCTCTGTGTGTCTGTCCGTCTCTCTCTTTTTCTTGTGTTTATCTTAGGGGTCCTTTAATTTGTAAATACAGAACCTTCCTTCTACATCTATCTTTTTCCCAATTAGCAATTTCATATTTCAGGTAAATAATTTCACGTCCGCGAAAGAATAGAGTTACTAAACTAACGAATTACATTACTGTCTCGGCAAAGGCGTTAAATTCTGTCGATTCATCGTCTACAAGGTACAAGCGGCTGAATGACAGCTACTTTATCGAGGGAATTGCGTTATAATGTTGTCGGCGACCGGCAAAGAGCTTTAATCTATTGATTGTCATTCGAGTAACTGGATTCGGAAACAAGCTCGTGGTAATTAAAAAGAATGCATCGCTAATGTATTTAAGATGCGATAAAAAAGAAATTTCATTTATCCTCGCCGATAAGGATAAAGGTAAATATCAAAAAGGGAACGCGTTTCAGACGACAAACTCGATTTTGATCGACCGGTCATTGAATTTTCCTGTCACGTTCTTGTTACTAGAGTTGACTTTTCGCCCATTTAGCGCCGTTTTAGTGCTTTCGTCGTATTATTCTATGTTACTAATTAAATCTTCTGGAAAAAGCAATTATTGATACGGAAAGCTACCAGTTAACCGCCGTATTCGATTTTCTCATTAACGAGCTAATTATCGATCATGTAACAAATATCTCTTAGCAATATCGCTTTGACACAGCTGCTGATCTATCCTATGCACTGTGCGTAGGATTTAGCGTAATTAGCATAGTGCTTTATATGTCTCTACATAGAATCGATTTGCATTTCACACGCGCGATACCACCAGAAACGCATGTTTCGTACGAACAATTGTTTTTCATTGTCTTTATCAACAAGAGGAAACAATCTACACATTTTGAAATTTCGTTGAAACCACAATGAAACACATTTACAACGATCGTATCGATGAAGTCTTAAAAGAATTTGTAAACGTACGTAGAAGTTGGAAAATATTTATTGCAAGCATACGCTTCTTAACCATGCTCGAAGTATGCGATTAGTTATCGAATCATGATAATAGTGTTTCATTACATCTGATTACATTTCAACAAGTTTCGTATAACACGCATAATATATTTATCAAAGTATATTCTACGAGCCACTGTAGTATATTCGAAATAACTCTCCACGAATGTTCGATTAATACTTTCGTGAGCCAGTATACGTTTGATGCGAGACACGTATCACGAAGAAATTAAAATCTTAGCCGTTTCTTCACAATCTTTATCCGTATAATCTTTATCCACTAGCTATACGCCATGATTTTGATATTAGTGGATATAGACTGTGGATCGTTCATCACACAAACGATGAAAGATCTTCTCCCCTATCTACGAAGAGAATTTCTCGATGAGCCTCTGCTACGTGATGCTCGTTCTTTTGGATGGCGCGACTGGTCCACAGAAAAATTATACGGTTCCGGTAGAAACCGACGAAAGCAGCTGACGCGCGAGGGAGAGAGCAGAGGGAATGAAATATCACGGAGAAGAACCTTGATTCTTCTGCTTAGTGGGAAGGTTATCGATCGAGAGCAGGATCAGAGGTCTTCGTCTCACGATTAATTACTCCACCAAAAAAAATGTCAAAAGGAAAGGCGGGTCTTTAGAAGTTGGTCAAAAGTCAGGGCAATCAATAAAAAGTATTGATTTGCTCATTAGAGTTGCATACAATAATAAATTTTAATATTGCACGTATGTTTGCGCTAATTGTTTTCCGCGACGAGGGAATATGTTGATTAGTTCGAATTATCATCATTAATCAGTATGCCGCGTGTGTACAAACGCAGTCAGATATTTCAGATTCCTATCAAACGTTGCAATAAAATCCGCTATCTTTCAAGTTTATTGAACTCGTGTGTTGAACTCCAGTTTTATTTACTCGATGTAGAAAGGTGGAGGATGTGTACACTATCAGAGAAAGAACTCATATGCTTGGGCATATCATTCGCTATAATTGTAGCACCGTAGAGAAAGAAAACATTGCACTTGGAGGAAAAATAACAGGCTGGTAGAGAAAAGAAGAGAGAGAAATAGAGGGAGAGAGAGAAAGAGTAAGTGAGCGAGGAAGGAATCTAATCGACGTTAAATTAATCGCATGTTTCTTTTGAGTCTTTCCTTCAGATTTAATACTGTTTAATATTTCCATTAAATACATTTCTTCGTCGATACTCGGGAGCATTTTTCCGACAAGGAGGACAAAGGTAAACTAGAAAATCTTTATTCGCTACCCGGCACACAATTATGAAATGACTCTGATTCCTTCCTTTCTGGCATTCCGATCGTAATGAATCGTATTTAATTAAAACTGATGGTTTTCATTTGCGAAGGTACTGTACAGTAAACGTTGCATTTAATCCAAGCGAGTTACCTTCTATCGACGATTTCGCAGCCTTTAATACCGGATCGAATTAAATGCTTTGAACCTCTTTGTAAACTGAAAATCGCCCGTTTCTTTTCTCTAATTATCGGTTGTTCTATTACAATTCATTTCGTTTTCAATTGTGTAAAACAAACAGACGTCCTATGATTGCTTCCTCTATAAAATTCCTCAGAAAGTAGACGCCTCGATGTAGTTCGAATTTAGACATTACATTTTGCAATTATTAAAA